AGATGGAGAAGAGGCAGCAGGAGTTCAGCAGCAGCGCTCGCCGAGGTGCGGGGAAAGGGGCACGTGGGGAGGCCAGGGGACGCGGAGCCGGGCGGGCAGTGCACGGAGGAGCGCGTCCCTTCCAAAAAGGCGGCTCAGACATAAACCAGAAACGACCCCATAACCTCAACAAAGCCCTCCACAGACAGCAGGGCAAGCTAGTTTCCGTGCTGCTCTCACGCTTGTTCCTTCTCACATAGTCCTCGAGCCTCAATCCTGGCAAATTTGGTCTTTTCCACGTGTGAGACAGGCTCTCGGCCCTGGCAGCGGGGTGGAAACAGCCCGTTTGCACAGGTTCTTGTTGCTCCTGTCCCTTCCTGCTCCTGCCATCAGAGCTCAGACACCCTCTTTCAGACCAGAAGCGATCCCTCCCCTCCTCCCTGCTGCACAGCCCTGCCTGAAGCACCGCGCACAGGGCGCCCAGCTGTTTAATCTCTGGAAGCACTCAAACATAATTTTTAGAAAATGCCGCCAACACTCGGCTGCAAGTGCCACAAGGCCAGGGAATATGCTTTGTTCCTAATTGACTTGTGCCAGCACTTGGCTCAAAAACATGCTAAAGCAGGAAGCAGAGAGCACCGCTCCAGGTCTGCCTGAGAGCAGAGCTGTCTGTCCAGCGCCCAGGACGGAGCTAAAACACTTAACGCAGGGCTTGTCCTGAGTCCGCTGACTGTCACTGCCTGTGCCCTTTCAGGCTGCAGGAGACACTTCCCAAAGGCAGGCTGTCACGTTCGGTGCTCGCTGAGTGCTCCTTTCTGCACTTGCATCCCTCAGTGCTGCAGATGTACCTGGGCTCTTACCAGATTTATAAATAAACCTGTTGTGCCAGAAGTGGAAGCACATACATGGAGAACAGCAAATGTATTGCCTGTTCTGCAGAAATGGGCACTACGTCCCATTTGCCTTGTTGCAAAAGTGCACAAAGTGCTGGAACAAACGGTGCTCGAGGAAAGGATGCTGAAAGACAGACATGAGAGTAGGAGTAAAAGAGGCTAAAATGCAACAGAAATTTGCCATATATGAATCACAGCCCCCTCTGTAGAGGAGATAATTGACATTTTAAACAGCAACACCGTGGATCAAAGTACACCGTCTTTAACAGAGCAGAAAATACCTATTCAGGCAGGAGAAGGCAGGAATTACTACAAGAATTGTTAGGACGTTAAAGAAGCACCTAATGGGGAGATGACGTTACGTTACAACGGAAGGATCATTAATGCTCTGGAAAAGGCTATTAATGGAGTTCCTCAAAGATTGGTCTTGAGATGAATTTTATTTAATGGCTTTCATTAGCAATCTAGGCTTAAAAAAAACAGGTGTCCTCTAAGCGAATGTACTGGTAAGAAATTCAGGAGAAGTTTTAAACTGAACAAGGGACTAAAAATACTACAGGAGAAGAACCAGACGATCTGAAAATTGACAGAAATGAAATGGTTGGGCAGAAGTTCATACACCTAGGGACTAATGGGAAAAATTGCTACCCTAAGCTGGGAGTCAGCAGTTGAAAACAGCATAGGAGAAATAGCTGGCTTTTAGGCAATCCCAGGATAGCTGTAAGAAAAGAAATGCAATCTTAGGATGCGTCAGACAAGTTTTCACAGCAGAGAGAGCGTCCATCAGAGTACTAGCACCACCGGAAAAGGCACAGGAAGGAATTCCCAGAAGCACTGCCCTGCTCTTGATCCCTCCATGCCAGGGGAGGTTTTGACCAGGAGCAGGCCCAGGCAGTGGCACCAAGGATAAGCAGGTGAATACAAAAGCTGCCTTAGGAGACAGGGCTGCAAGGTGATGACTTTTTTTAGCCTTTTGGTAGAAAGACTGTCAAGGGAAACAGCTGCTCGAGGCATGGGTCAAGCAGGAAACGAACTCGTTCTGCTGAAATACAATGGGAGCTGAAGCGGCACTGTGGGAAAGGTGGCTGTGAGTTAAACGAGGTGGCAGATGCGCAGTCACCAGAGCAGCAATGCTCTGGAAGGGGCAGGAGAGAGCCCTGAACTTGGTGTGTTTTTCCAGGGGACTGCAGCGTGCCAGGCCTCCGGTGGCAGCAGGCCAACTCTGTTGCCTCCGCTCCTCAATCAGCCCCTCGGCCTGCTTCTCCCACGAAGCCGCGTCCAGGCACAGAGACTGCCATCGTTCAGGGGAATGTTTTCAGGCAATAATTTGGCCGGGGGACGTGGGATCATCTGCTCAGCCCATGCCACGGGGAGGGTCTTGCTTTTGCAAGCACCCAGCCAGGAACGGGCACGAGGCTGTCGGGTGGCATCCTGTGGCCTCCTAGCTGGTGGTGGGTCCTGCCCCATCCCCTGAAAGAGCAAACTCCCAAGGCTTTTGGGGAATGAAAAGAGAAGTGCCTAAGGAAAGAAAAAAGAAAGTGCCTGTTTCTTGTGCTGAACTGATTAGAAAAGCAATAAGAAACGAACCTACTTCTGGCCAGGACTGCAGTAGAGGCCCTGGGGCTGCCAGAGCTGATGATGATCCCTGAACAGAGGGATGTGAAATACAAGTTCATACAAGAGGGCTTGAAATCCAAGGCCCTGACACAGAAGGAGGAGGCGGCGCTGTGATGGGCTCATCCAGCGCCTCCAGGCACAGGCAACGTAACCGGGATCCTCTGCGTCGTTGGAGTCATAGGAAAGCAGCAGATTCCCACCCTCTGTGGCTGGTGCTGAGCACACCGATGCGGCCGGACCGCTGCGACCCACCAGCAGAGCTGGAGCTGAGCGCCCGGAAGAGCCCCTGTGAGCTGCAAGAGCTGGTGGCAGGAGCGGGTTGTTGAGGTGTGGCGAAGCAGCCGCGTAGCAGGCTGTGATCCACCTACAGCATTTTCTGAGTGGGCTACTCCCCCTATAATTTATCCTGCCATTTCCAGCACCTTGGGAGCAATGAAAAAACATCCCTTTCACTTGGAAATACCCTTCTCTAAGAACAACCTGTTCTCATCATTGCCATCAGCGGGCAGGCAGCACTCAGCTTGCTCCGCGCTCCTTTTGTGCACGAACAAAGAGCTTTCCACGGCAAGAGCCTGCGCTGCAGCGGGAGGCGAGGAACAGGTCTGCACGCGCCCTCTGCGGCTGAAGGCATTGCTTCCATCTCCGGGCAGCCTGAATCCCAGCACCCGGGCTCGGAGGAACCCCATCTGACAGCAGGTTTGCTCTGCTTCCCAGACTGCCTCCCACAAGCTGGTTCATCGTTCCTTATTCGTCCCCAGTTCTCTGGGAGAGGGCAGGGCTGCAGGTATTCTTTCTAATCCCGGTGGCCCAGTCTCCACCTTTCCAACCTAGAGTTCCCAGCAATCAGTGGTTACTCAGGAGTCTCTCAGGTATCCTGCCTTGCTTGGCCCATGCACCTTCAGCCCTGAACACAAATCACCCAAAGAACATTTCAGCCTGATCTATGTCATGATCTCCTCCCACAGAATTAGTTTAACTTTAAAATGTCACCTCTGTCCTCTCCTAGGGCTGGAGCTTCGGCTGGGCTGGGGTTTCATGCACTTGCTCCGTCTCCGCTGCCTGTTGCATGCTGCTGAGCATCAGTACTGCCTTCACCCGCAGCGTTTTCCCGGGGAGGGCTTTGCTTCCCTGCCCCAGGCCCTGGCTGTGGGGAGCCTGGGGCAGCCAGGCCTCCCGTGCTGTCGCCCAGAGCAATCGCGGTGGCAGAGGCAGGCGAGCCCCGATCACCTCGCCCAGGATCAGCAAGAGGATAAGGCCACACCAGGAGCACAGGCAGTTCCGTGGCAGAAGCCAGGGCCAGGCAGTCCTGACTCCTAAGGCTGTTTCTGGTGCTCTCTTTCACTGGTCATTTGGGTGCCTCAGTTTCCCTTTGGGAGCCTTCCGGACTCAGATGCCACTTGCAGTCATGCAGGAGCCAAGAGCCCTTTGAATCTAGCAGCAACATGGTGCTGGGGACCCACCGTTATGAGCCGCTAAAAGCCCTTTTGAGGGGTTTGCTGGATTGGTTCTGCCCTTGTAAAATACAGCTTTTTGTTATTTATGTCCAGACAAAAAATAGACATGAAAAATAAGCCTGCAAGGGATATTTCCAGTCATCTCCTCCCTGAGATATTCATTACTGGCAAAGTGCTTCCTCTTTCCTTTACTGGCAAAGTGCTTCCTCTTTCCTTTTAGGAGCCCAATTCAGGAGCTTTGCAGGGCAAAGCAACGATTTCCTCTCTGGGGTGCATGAGCCAGAGCAGTGCGGAGGCAAGGGACCAACGCAAGGCATGGGTTGCCAAAGGACTGTCCAAAACGCAGTTACTAAGGCAAAGGATCACAATCAAGTGCTTAGTTTTACAAGCACAGTCAAGCTTCAGAAATTCTCAGGAAAGACTCTTTCCTCATGCTCTCCTAGTGCCCCTTTTACCACAAGCCTGTAGGAGCTCATTGCCTTTAGACATCCTGCCCATAAGTTATATGGTCACCCTCAGGGGCTGGTGTTCCTGACTTCTAAAGGACTTTCCAGTTCGGGGACAAGTGGGCTGGAGCACCCAAGGAGCAGCAGATGCACCTGCAGCTGGGAGGGGTCCAAGAGGAGCTGCTCAGAGGACCTTTACCCACTGCAACTCTAACTTGGCCTTGTCTTTTCAGGTTCCCCTTAGGAGGCAGCAAACCTCTGTCCCTATTGCAGCACTGCTGTCAGGGAAGGCGCATAACCCAGTCTCCTTCTTACCTTTTCCAGCACAGACACACAGAGGAAGCAACAGAAAGGTGAGACCCCACAGAACCTGACCCCCACTCTTTCTCAGAGAAAGGAAAGGAACAGAAAAGGCAAGAGAGGAAAAGGGAGCAGCTGAGACCCATCAACAGCAGCTGCGAAGGATAAGCTCCAGCACTGAGCTCCCAGGTGGAGCTGATGAGCACAAGGAACTTGCAGGCCTGTGTCTTTCCTAGCATGCAAGGTTGACTGTGTGGAGTGACTCTGTAATGTTGTCCAGGGTCCTGGTAGACACAAGGTAGGTTTGAAAAGGGCTCCCAAGCTGCCTGGTAGAGGCTCATTCCAAGTAGCTGCAGAGCGAGGGAGAGCAGGACAGCTCTATCCATGCTACTGCACTATGGATCCATGCTACAACCTCACAAGCCCTCCAGAACCCATGGATTTCCATCTGCAGGTGCTGGTCGGGTCCTTCCTTGTCATCCTCATTGTGCTCGTTCTCTGCGGTAACATCATTGTCTGCCTGGCCGTCACCTTTGATCGCCGGCTCCGCAGCCTGACGAACTGCATCATCGTCTCCTTGGCCGTCACCGATCTGCTGCTGGGCCTCCTGGTGCTGCCGTTCTCCGCCATCTATGAGCTCGCCCATGAGTGGCCCTTTGGCAGCACTCTGTGCAATATCTACATGAGCCTGGATGTCATGCTGTGCACAGCTTCCATCCTAAACCTCTTCATGATCAGCCTGGACCGCTACTTTGCAGTCACCACCCCGCTCCGCTACAGCCAGGTGGTCACTTCCTCCCGGGTGGCTGTGGGCTTAGTCATTATTTGGACAGTTTCGCTGATGGTCTCCTTCCTACCAATCCACCTGGGCTGGAACACCAACGGGACAGCGGTGCAAAACACAGCCTCCAACTGCAGCAAGGAGTGCAAGCTGGAGGTGAACCCAGTGTATGGGCTTGTGGATGCCTTGCTCACCTTCTACATCCCTTTGGTCATCATGTGCATCACCTACTACCGAATATTCAAGATAGCAAGGGAGCAAGCCAAGAGGATAAACCACACGTGGTGCTGCAGCAGCAACACCCCCATGCCACCCATCGTGAAAGAGCACAAAGCTACAGTGACTCTCGCGGTCGTTTTGGGAGCATTCATTGTGTGCTGGTTCCCCTATTTCACGGTGTTCACTTACCGGGGGATGTGGGGGGACAGCAGCGTGAAAGGTACACCCATGTCCATCGTCCTCTGGCTGGGCTATACCAACTCAGCCCTGAACCCCATCCTCTACGGCACTCTCAACAGGGATTTCCAGGTGGCGTACCAGCACTTGCTGCACTGCTGGAAGACAGGGGACCCCAGGGGCTCCTGCCTGCCTCCCCTCCGCCAGGCCCAGCCCAGGGGCAGGGGTTGCCAGCAGGACCTGGGCAGGCAGGAGGGTAAGCCTCTGAAACTGGAGATGAGGAACGGGAAAGGGATCTTGCTGGCTGACGGAGCACTTGAGAGGTAAGAGCTTTCTTACGGGCATAGGTTTGGTGGCTGGTCCATCCCCAGAGAGGAAGGCAGAGGTGGGGACCCCATGTTGTCTGGACCTTCCTTTTATATCTGAACTGGTTTTACTGTTAAGTAATGAGCTGGATGAACCAGCATGATATCCTTGGCCAGGCAGCTCTTGCTCCTTACAACGCACTCGGCAATTCATCAGCATCAGCAAGGCCCCAACTTCCATCCCTGTGCGCAAGTAGCACCGGTCCAGCTATGCGAGTTTTGCAAGGGGGGCTGCTGGCACGCAGCAGGGCCATCGCCATCACCTCAGGGAAGCACAAAATGTCCCTGGCCTTCAGATTCCGCTTTACAAAATGCGGGTGCAGGCATTAGTTGCAGCTGCTCCTCAATGTTGGCCACGTCCTACTCTCTGATGACAGGTGGCCAGCAAAGCCTGGGCACACATCAGAGCTGTGGGGGACTCGGAAAAGGTCACCTCCCAGCGCAGCGGGGAGAACAGCGTGTTATCACCGGGGTGTGGAGAGTTAACGTGCCTGCAGTCACCCTGAGCAGTTCAGGGGGTTCCCTTCTCGGCTAAGCCACACACCCTCATTACGGAGCCTCCATATTTTGGCTGTCACTTTGCAGCAGCAGCGAACTCAGCCAACAGCAAGTCCCATTCCCATCTCTGTAAAGGAGCAAGAATAGCCAAAATTAGGCTGGCAAATGTTTTTAGAAATACAAATAGCCATGCAAGTTAGAGCTAGAAGTTCCCTCGGCATCACCTAAGCACATCACAGGGTCAGGACCCTCCTGGGGTGTCCCAAACAGGGCTGCAGCCCATGGGTGAGGGTACCCAGGCAGTGGGACGTAGGAGCAGGCCAGGCAGCCTGCCAAGCCAGGGCGATGCAGGCGAGCTCTGCGCCGGGTTGCGGCAGCAATCCTCTCCCTGGGCACCCGCGTTCCCGAAGAGCTGGGCCAGCCCTCACACCACCTTGCCCAAAGGCATCCACCTGCTTGAGCCCCAGGAGGGTGGGCAAGGCTGCTGTCTGCCGTGGTGCAAGCTACTGCTGCTCCCGAGCCTTTAATCTAACGTTTCGCAATGCCTGATAAACAGTGCAGAAACTTTCCATCCCACAGATAAGGTGTCCTTTTGCTGCCAGCTCCCAGTGTGCCAGCGGAGACGCCGTGCTCATGCTCTCCTGTGGCATGTGCCCTTGCTTCCACACCTTGAAGCACAGTCTAAAGCCATGGAAAGGAGAAAGCAGAGGGGTGGACTGGAGGGCAGAGCTGTCCAAAAAGCTCAGTCTGCACCAGGCTTAGCCTGGGCACTCAGGTGTGACTTTACCCCAAGGGAGAGGGCAGCATAGAGGCAAAACTCCACGCCGAGAGACGCTTGCAGAGTGGGGTGGATGCAAACAAATAAAAGATTGCAAAATCCTGGGACTTCCTTTCCAGTTTCCAGAGAAATAATAAAGTGTGCAAAGGTACAACATTTGGCAAACATAGTTGCAGTTATATAAAAATGCTTAGAGAGAGCATGTGTCTGGTGTGACACCGATACGTCTGCAAACGTATGGAGACAGAGAAAGAGCTGTGCTATTTCTTCGCGCTAAAGCGCAACTCCAGGACAAAGTGGCTGTTCGGGGAAAGCTTGAGCGCTGGGACTCTGCCCACAGCTGGGGAGAGCTGAGGACAGGCAACAGGCTCTCAGGGCTTCCCTATAGCAACCAAAAGAGAGAAAAGAAGAACATTAGCGCCTTTGGAAAGTGCTGCTTTATCACGAAATGAGAATAATGAGCAGGAAGAAAAGGGGAAGGAAAGGAGGTTTCTGTTACCTGGGCCAAGGCTAGAGCCGCTGGAGGAGCCGCAGGGGGACCCGCGGCTGCAGGCGGGGTGGGGCTCAGCCCTGCCCCTGCAGAGCGGTGCCGGGACTGGAGGCGACCGAGGAGGCCGCCTCCGGACAGCACCAGCTAATCAGTTAGCAAGCAGCTTCCCAGGGATGCGGCCATTCGCGGCGAGCAGTGATTGCGACAGCGAGAGGCTGTGTCACTTCTGGAAATGTCGGTTTTGCGTTTGGGATGCCTGTGACGCAGTAGGAGGCCCGGCCGCAGAGTTGGCCTTGAGGCTCTCTCCGAAACAGCCTCCCTGACAAGGATCCCGCTAAGCTGCGGGAAGAGCTAAAAGCAAAGGGAAAGCAGCGAAGCAACTTGCAAGAGCACTGTCCGTCCGCTGGGACTGCTCCTGCGCTGCTGCCTGCCGGGGTCACTCCCGCACTGCGGCCCCGTCCTGCGGAGGCAGGAGCCTTAGCCGGCCATCAAAAGGAAACGCAGGGTTAGGCCAGCAAGCAAACTGGAGGCAAATTGTGCTAAAGGCCGGTGGAAGGAGACCTGATCTGTCGCTCCAGCAGGGCCAGGTGGAAGCCCGGGGCAGGGCGGCGGACGGCTCCTGCTGCACCGGAGCTCGGACAGGGCTGGGGCAGCCCCAGCCCGCGGCAGCCGTAGGGCCGAGTCGGGGCACGCGGCTTGATCCAAGGGACAGACTTAGCTCCTTCCCATCGCTCGGGTGTGTTTGAATGAGAGCGGTGAGAAACTTGGAACGGCTTCTACCCCCCCTTCCAGCAGGAGAAATAACTCAGTTTCCCATCCGGGTTTGCTCCTACGGGAGCCCGACGTGGAGGGCAGGCATCAGCCGGTGCTGTGGCAGCGCGTACATACGCGAGGGAGGGAGGCTCAGACACGGGGACGTTGCCTGACCTTCTTCAACCCAGCGCTCGCTTTCCCATCCTACACAGCATCACTGCTGTGGTTTCTGCTTGCCATCAGATAAGAGCTCACTTGAGCTCTGAATGATCTGCTGTTCTTTCAACTTTCTCTGTTTCATGGGTTTGCTCACTCGCATGGCAATGGTACCAAGGATCACCTGGAGCCCCTTCCATCCCTTTTCTCTGGCGTCAGATATATGGACAAGTGGGTCGCTTCCCCTGCTGTTAGGATGGCAGATGAGCTGGATCAGCCAGAAGGTGGTCCCAGGACTAATCTGAGCGTGAAAGGACAGATAGATACCTCTTCCCCCTTCTTCTCTCCTGTTGCAAAGCATAGGGTAAAGGCCCGCAAACAGCAGTGAGAGTATTCAAGTGTTGGGGTGAGTCTTGGGGTGCCGAGAGCTGGGATGGGGAGTTCAGAGCGGGGCGCTCCTTCGGAAAACAAAAGGGGCAACACAGTCATTAAAGCACTGGGGGCGCTTCTGTGGATCGGGCCATGGAGGGTTGAGGCTACAGGGCCAAAGAACAAAGTGATGGGAGACAACTTCTCTTTCTTCACAGTGCTTTAAAAAGGCAAGGCAATCATGCCACGATAACGACACAATAAATGAGAGCATCAGTTGTTTGCACATCTGGTTAACCTCGGGAACTCATTGCTGCTTGATTGCAGTGAGACACGGGACTCAGCAGGACTCTGCTGAGCACTGGGCATGGCTTTAGGTTGTGACACCATTCACGGAGGACCAGACAGTTTAAAAGCCTGAAAAAAAAGAACATTGAGCACTAACTGGGTCCCCACCAGGGAGAAAACTGCGTAGCTGCGGCGGCTGGGGCCAAGCACGTGGCTCTGGGTCACCCTTCTGCAGGCACGAGGCTGTGCTCGGAGACGCTCGGGGCACGGCTGGGACCGCGCTCTACGGGCAGAGAGAGGCCAGTTCCCATCGGAAAGGGCCACGTTCCCAGCCCCGACGTGCCTGCCCCAGACTGCCCTCCCCTGCCGCGGCCTCGGCAGGGTGGACATCGGGGCTGGGAGCGCATGGGAGAGCGCAGAGCGAAAACGGGAGCCCGATGCGCTCATCCCTGCTGCCACTGACCTGCTAATATGTTCTCTCTCTCTCTCTCTTTTATTACATCTTCATATACGACTTAACCCTTTCCAGCGCCAGCGCTTTCCTGTGAGCCTCAGCCAGCCCGCTGCCTGAGGACACACGTCTCCCAGCTTTTGGCTCCTGGCTGCCCTCTTCCAAAATCCTGTAAGGCTGAAAGGACAAAGCTAGGTTGTTCCCTGGGAGAAGCTTCGAGGCAGAGGCAGGGGCCGCAAGGTGAGTACGGGGCTGAGCCAGCG